TATAGCTGGTTTTAGTAGTTTGGATTAGATTTAGATTTTTGGAAATTATTGCCACCCATTTCCTTAGTATCTGAAGATCAAATGACCTGTTATTTCTTAAAGGAGAGTCTGGCAGAATAGTGTCAGAATATTGGGATGTAGATGAGATTAACATTAAAGAGATGAAACTGCTAACCTGTTGTTTTTGGTGAATATCCCATGTTTTAAGAGTGATGTAATTGAATGATGATTTACTCTTAAGTTATCATCTTTGCTTGATCATGGATTTCTTGCAATCACTTTTCAAAAACTTGGGGTAGAAGTGTAATTGTGGAAAATACACATGCCCAACATGAGTACAATTTGTGCATACAGAGAACCAGTTAGACATGTACCTAGTCATCCACACATGCATGCAGCTGCATGTTTAAAGGGGGATAGATGTTTCAAAAGTTTGCTGCATATTGTTTGAAGTTAATCTTTCAGCATCAGGGTTGTGTAGCAGAGTTTATAGCCTGCTCTGAATCAACAACAAAGATGTGCAGTGCAGTTTGCTAAGGTGGAAGCTGTCTCAGCCTAGGAACCTTAGAAACAGATAAAATATTTGGTGGTGATGAGAATGGTACATAGTAGCTAAGCACTGACACTACAGCTGTATATGGGTCATCTTTAGGTGGCAGAGCCAGTGATGGTGATGCTGGCACCTTCCAGTCTACTAGTTTCCTCTCTATATCCATCTCTCATCCCAAATGTATTTTTTCCCCCCCCTAGGGACACTTGAGATTGATTTGTGTAAAGACAACTTATTTTCTAGAGCCTAATTACTTTGATAAGGCCACTGCATATTTTAAATTGACTTGAATACTGTACTTCCCTGTTCTTGTAGCATTTTCCCTGCTAGTATTTTTAGATTAATCAAATTTTTCTAAAGGCCACCTCTTGCCCCCCAAAATATAACATGTAATTTTTTTGAAAGAGTTTCTGTAGTACAGAAATTCACTTTATTTTAACCAAGATACAGTGTATCTTGTGTACATTATAAATGCAACGATTTATATGATTTATAACTAGGTACTGTACTGAAAATTCCTTCCTAATGAGGAACTTGACATAAATAAAATTGCTAAGTCATTCTGGAAAAATACATTAATCAGTTTTCATTTTGTGTGTTTCAAATGTCTTAGTAGGAAAAATAATTACCATACTATAGTGCAAATCACTTATTAATTTATTTTTTTAAGTTAAGTATCCAAATATATGATGGCTGAAGAACAGTGTGTAGATATTTGGCACTTACAGACCCTTTCCTTTAAGGACTTCAAAGCATTTTACAAACAGTTAATTTAAACAGTGTCCTTTCTGTGACAGTTTTATCTAAGGTCCATACCTAAAGGATAAGTGTCAGGGTCTAGAAACGTCCTGCCTGTTTGTTGTAACCACTTGTCTTATACTTGGATTGCAAGTTCTTTGGGACAGTGATGGAATTGAAGTGTTTGTATAGTGCTTAGCACAGTGTGGTTCTGGTCCCTGATCGGGGCTCCTAAGCACTGCCACAATACAAATAACTAACAGTGTCTCTCACAATGAATCAGTTCCTGGTTACAGATAGAACCAGAACTCGAGCCCCCTTTTCTGATCACTAGCCAACCCTCCAGTGTCCAAATATAGACTTAAAACTTAAACTGACTTTAGGAAAGTTCACAAAAGCCCACATCCTCCTGAACTATTTTTCTTTGTGTCAAGACTGTAAGGGTGTGCTTTTAGGCTGGCTGAATTAGTGATTGTAATCTTAATTTTTTGTTGCCGCTTTTGTTACCTCTTGTTTTCACAGTAAGGATCACATGGGTTTTTAGTCATTTTTCACTGAAGCTTTTAAAATACCTAATGCTAGCACCATTTTATTCTGCTATGTAAATAAGCTCCGGCTTAGTAGAAGTAGTTTGATTCTCAGTGTCTTGTTTTCCAGGTTATTGTGGGGGCCTGTGAGCACTCTGGGGCATGATAGAGAGTCTGGGTACAGTTCTCTTGCCTGATGGCTTCTTCTGCTCAGTCCCTCCAGTAACAATTTTGGTTAGTTCTTCCCCTCAATCCAAGAATGCACATTCCTTAAATTAGCAAAGGTGAACACATTGATGTGTTACCACATTTGATTAACAAACAAACCTAGTTCTCTCATATTTTAGCATAGTTGCTGTTGTGTCTGCCACTCTTATTTCTTTCTCCTCCTCGGTCTACTTCATCAGTGGTGAAACACCCGGTTATGCACAATTAGGATTATTCATGCTCAAAGATGTTTGTGCAATTCAACAGGAATGGTACAAAGGATTTTCTTTTCCTCAGTTTTGTTGGCTCTTATTTTTGTTTCTCACACCCTAACCTTTTTTTAATGTAAATTATTTTAATACCCATTGAGTCATAGCTGCAGCTGCTACACCCTGCAGATTTCAGGACACATTTAAAAAGGGAAGATATTAATTTTTTAGAATGTGTGGATAGATGTGAGTTGAAGGAAACTTGCAGTAGCACTACTATGTTCTTATTTTCATCCATTCTTGTTATCTCTGACTTAGTCTGCAGGATCCTGTAGGCACGGAACGGTTACTTAGTTTTGTCCATTTTGTAATGTAGTATGTTTTCCATTTAGATCTTTCTTTATTGAGCATACCATAGCCTTTTAATTCACTAGTGTAGCTGTAAGGCTAGTGTTAGATTTAAAAAAAAAAAACAACAAACCACTTGATTGCTCCCTTTCTTGTCAAGCCAGAGCAGCTTTCACAAAATAATCAAGACTTGAGAATGCTAACCATCTGGAGCCTTGGGATGATGTGAGAGGATGTGAACAGTTTGCAATTGATTACAACATACTTCACTGCCTAAAAAGATGATTTCTTGTGTCCCCTTCTCACAAGCCTCCTGAGAATGGGCATTTGCAAAATAAAAGGGAATATACATACAATAGCATTTGTATTTCAGTGTTCCCATGGTGATGTCTATCTTATATTTAGGTTGTCTGTTAGAAGAAATGAGAGTGTTTATGGCATTCATAATTCAAGTTTTTGAAGGCAGTACTACATATTAAAATAACATGACCTTCATGTCAGTTTTTCAGTGTAAGAGAAAATAAGTGCACAAAGTGCAGAGAGAAGAGAAAGGAGAACTTTGCCTTTTTTTAATTTAAGAAAACTATACATCAATAAGACTTTGCCTTAGTGTAATTTGTTATCTTGGCTACATATCAGAAAATTGAGACTGATTCTTATTTTGATATAAAAAAAAAAAAACCAAAACCCTAGCCTAACAAAGTGTTTATATAGGGTGTCAAATTTGAACATTATACAACTTCTAAAAATATTCTTTTATAAGAAGGGCCACATAGCTTCCCATTTCCCATGTAGGCAACAAAGTTACCACTTGTGGAATTTCCATTTAATAGTCCCATCATGTGGAGGCGTGGTTTGTATGCCTCTCCCCACAATGGAACTGGCAGGCAGTTGACCCGTCCTAACCCTGCATACCCGTCTGAGATCTAATTAAGGTCCTCTCTACTCATGAAAATGAGACAAAAAGGATATTTTATTTAATCAGAATGACTCTAGAGGTGAGGCATTGCCTGAAATTCATGACCAAATAATCCCCTACTTGTCATAATTGAAGGGAGATGCTATGGATTTTGTTTGCTGTCATTCAATTTGCTAAGTAAATGTAGTGTTCATGAAAGGTATTGGATTGACATCCCAGAGGCCAAAGTTGGCTGTCTAGCCACAGAACAAAAACAGCATAGGCCATGACAAAGCAAATATCATCATCATGAATCCCTGCAACTGTGCCTCAATTCTTACTTGGAGGGACCTTCTTCTAGGGCCAAGAGGGAGATTCTCTCTCACCTTTCATAAGAACGGCCGTACTGGGTCAGACCAAAGGTCCATCTAGCCCAGTATCCTGTCTACTGACAGTGGCCAATGCCAGGTGCCCTAGAGGGAGTGAACCTAACAGGTAATGATCAAGTGATCTCGCTCCTGCCATCCATCTCCACCCTCTGACAAACAGAGTCTAGGGACACCATTCCTTACCCATCATGGCTAATCGCCATTAATGGACTTAACCTCCATGAATTTATCCAGTTCTCTTTTAAATGCTGTTATAGTCCTAGCCTTCACAACCTCCTCAGGTAAGGAGTTCCACAAGTTGACTCTGCGCTGTGTGAAGAAGAACTTCCTTTTATTTGTTTTAAACCTGCTGCCTATTAATTTCATTTGGTGACCCCTAGTTCTTGTATTATGGGAATAAGTAAATAAATTTTCCTTATCTACTTTCTCCACATCACTCATAGTTTTATATACCTCTATCCTATCCCCCCTTAGTCTCCTCTTTTCCAAGCTGAAAAGTCCTAGCCTCTTTAATCTCTCCTCATATGGGACCCTCTCCAAACCTCTAATCATTTTAGTTGCCCTACCTGATTAGTGCTTGCTTGTTGGCAGTATTATTTAAAAATTTGTGCTTTTTGTGATGTAAACAGTTAATGTTGACCAGTAACTTGATTGTGACTAGCAAATAGTGACTGCTAAATCGTCCGAGAGCTATCTTAAAATAAAATCCTTTAATACACCATGGTATTGCCAGTATTTGGAATATGAAATGCTGCGGTAAGTATGACCTTCATAAGGAATAAATGTAACCTTTTAATGAAACTTATTAAAGTGAACTGGATCAGAACCAATTACCTAGAGATTAAAGCCTTCATTTATCTCTTGAAGAATCCAGTGTCCCTTTAGAAGAACATTTTTTTAGAGCTGGCATTTTACTCCTCTTGTCTGCAAAAAGCTTATTCGGTCCATTTGAAAGTGAAATATATAATATTCCTGTGTTTCTCACATTTACTCTATCATTTATTAGGATTAGGTATAGAACTCTAAACATTAGCTATAGAACAAAATAATCAGCTTCTTAGAAAGGAATGAATGGTAATTGTTTTTTTTTTGTCACTAGTTTATTTGATTTCCTATTATCTTTTTTTATTTCAGCTTTTCAGAGAAGTAAGAATAATGAAGATTTTAAATCATCCAAATATAGGTATTTCATGTTTTCCTAACATGTTGGTTCTGTGTAACTATCTTTTTAGAAGACTGCTTGTTTTTGGAGTGATTGCACACGTCCATTTTGCTTTTGGTGTGCGTGAGCTCCAGTGCACAGTTGTCAGAGAGTTTTTTCCCTTAGTGATATCTGGTGAGGCAGCATGAGCACCCATTGCTGCCTCTCATACCGCAGGCAGGCATAAAGAGCTGTACCTCCCCAGGGTACAGAACAAGCTGGCGGACCACCTCAGCAGGTGGTTTCACAGCCAGGAGTGGTCCATTCACCCGGACGTCACAATTTCAATCTTCCAGAGCTGGGGCTTTTCCCAGATAGACTTAGTCGCCATGTGACACAACAGGAAGTGCCAGCAGTTCTGCTCCTTCCAAAATTATAGCCCAAGCTCCAGCACGGACGCGTTTCTCCTCCATTGGGGAGGTTCTCTCCTATACGCCTTTCCGATCATACCGATCGTTCACAAGGTGGTACTCAAGATCTGGAGAGAACTAGCTCATGTCATATTGATAGCACCAGCCTGGCCCTGTCAGCACTGATACACATCTCTCCTAGACATGTCTGTAGAAGCCCTGATCACCCTGCCGCTCTTTCTGGACCTTCTGACACAAGATCACGGTCATCTTCAACATCGGAACCTCGAGTCACTTCACCTCACAGCGTGGAAGCTCCATGGTTGAACCTGATGGAGCTTTCCTGTTCAGTCCAGGTTAGACAGGTCCTCCTTGGCAGCAGAAAACCCTCTGAGAGCCACATACTTGCTTTCCTCCCGAAGGTTGTGTCAGTTTCACATCAACCAGGACATATTTCTCCTTGTATTCTACCCTAAGCCTCATTCCAATGGCAGGGAGCAAAGGCTCCACTCTCTGGATGTCCGCAGTGCACTAGCGTTTTACGTCGAGAGAACAAAACCGTTCAGAAAATCAGTCCAGTGATGGACAGAATGAAAGGTCAGGCTGTGTCATCACAACACATCTCGTCATGGATAGCGTCCTGTATTCGTGAGTGCTACAACCTGGCAGGTGTTCCTGTATCTCCAATCATTGCGCACTTCACCAGGGCACAGGCTTCATCAACAGTGTTCCTGGCTCAGGTTCCCACTCAGGAAATCTGCAGGGCAGTGATGTGGTCCTCCATCCATACTTTCGCCACACACTATGCGATTACCCAGCAGGCCAGAGATGATAGAGCAGTGCTCCAATCAGTGGAAGACTCCGACCCCACCACCTAAACTTGGGCTTGTGAGTCACCTGATTGGAATCAACATGAATAAGCACTCGAAGAAAAAACAGTTACTCACCTTCTCGAAACTGTTGTTCTTCGAGGTGTGGTGTTCATGTTCATTCCAATATCCATCCTCCTTCCCTTCTGTCAGAGTAGCTGGCAAGAAGGAACTGAGGGGGTGGCGGGTCAGCAGGGATCAATATTGAGCTCCATGAAGGTGCAACTCCAGGGGGCGCCCGGACCGACCAGATGGATGCTGCTATGGGAAAAATCTTCCGTGCATGTGTGCACGCACACACACTTGATTGGAATGGACATGAAGAATACATCTTGAAGAACAATAGTTACAAGAAGGTGAGTAACCATTTTTTTTTCTTACTAATCTTTTTCCTAAAGCCTCATGATAACAAACATAAGGAGAGATTGCACCCTCTGGACACTAGAAGAGCTTTAGCGTTTTATTCAGATCAGACTAAACCTTTCAGATCTTTGTCTCAGTTGTTTGTTGCGCTTGTGGACAGAATGAAGGGCAGTCCTGTTTCCACACAAAGGAATTCATAATGGATACCCATTTGTGTTTGTAACATGAAGCCGCCAGAGAGATTGTTGAGTCATTTGATTAGGTCCCAAGCAACCTCAGCAGTATTTTTTGCCAACATGCCCATATTGGACATTGGGAAAGAGGCAACGTGGATATCATGTCACATGTTTGCCTCTCACTACACTATCGGCAATCTAAGGACAATGCTAAATTTGGATGAATGGTCCTTTGGTTCCTGTTCAAATGGTTTCCGAACCCACCTCCAATTGGGGCTGCTTGTGAGTTACGTGCAGTGGAATGGACATGTGCAATCACTCGAAGAAAAAGGTTACTAACCTTTCCGTAACTGTTGTTCTTCAAGATGTGTTGCACGTGTCCATTTCCATGACCCATCCTCCTTCCCCTCTCTATAGTAAGGAACTGAGGGACGGGGGGCAGCTTGGCCTTTTATGCTTGCATGCAAGGCACTTGAGGGCACTCATGCCACCTTGATGGGAACTGTTAAGGGAAAAACTCCCTAGCTGTGCACTGGAGCACGCACATGGCTACAGTGGAATGGACGTGCAACATATCTCAAAGAACAACAGTTATGGAAAGGTTAGTAACTGTTTGTTTTTAAAAAGTTAAAGTGGTGGTGTATGAGTCTAATGAAGGTTCTGCATCATGGAGCCCACTTAAAGTGGTGATAGGGAGATAAGTGTTTTAATGTAAGGGCATTTCATTGGCTGCATAGACTTGCCTTGCCACACTGATGCACTACTATATCTGAGAAGTGGTTTTTAAAGAGGAGGAAAAAGAATACTTACTGCCTGGGACCCCGTGTATAATGTGATTATGCAGTCACACAAATTACTGAAAATTGTTCTTTGTGACTTTACTGCATAATTGTGCTCCAGAATCCAAGCTTTCACTTAAATAAAATTACAAAAAATCTACACCCATGGGAGAGGAGAGAGCACTCAGAATGTAAAATTAATTTAAAGCGATAGTGTTGTCTTTTGGATTCTGTAGACAATAGTTGAGGCAACAACCTACCCTGTATGTAGTACACCTCTACCCTGATATAACACGACCCGATATAACACAAATTTGAATATAACGCGGTAAAGCAGTGCTCCGGGGGGGTGGGGTTACACACTCTGGCGGATCAAAGCAAGTTGGATATAATGCGGTTTCACGTATAAGGCAGTAAGATTTTTTTGGCTCCCGAGGACAGCGTTATATCGAGGTAGAGGTGTATACAGGGCTGGTGGAAGGATGTTTCGCGCCCTAGGCGAAACTTCCACCTTGCGCGGGGCCCCCCCCGTCCCCAAGTCCCCACCCTGAGGCACCGCCCTGAGGCACCCCCCCCCCCGCCCCAGCTCACCCCTGCACCGCCTCCTCCCCGAGCACGCCGTCGCTGCTTCACTTCTCCCGCCTCCCAGGCTTGTGGCGTCTAAGCTGATTGGCGCCGCAAGCCTGGGAGGCGGGAGAAGTGAAGCAGCGACGGCGTGCTCGGGGAGGAGGCGGGGCAGGGGTGAGCTGGGGCAGGGAGTTCCCCTGCGTGCCGCCCCTCCCACCCCTTGCTGCAGGCGGCCCTCCCCACGCTCCACTGCCCCAGCTCCCTCCACCTAAATGCCGGCGGCGACCAGGGCGGCCGAAGATCCGGCCGCTGCGGTCGCTGCCAAAGAAAATGGTGCCCCCCAAAATCCTAGCACCTTAGGCAACTGCCTAGGTCGCCTAAATGGTTGCACCGGCCCTGGGTTTATATACAAATTACTGTTACCCAGTGCTTTGTTTTTTGGGAGCTATGCTTAAATTAATTGATTTTTTTCACTTGACCCTAAACTGAGTATGTTTCAAGCCAGAATTGTACATTCATAATAGTTTGACCCAGACTACAACTACTGATAAAGCATTTCAGTTATTCCATTTAGAAGCATGAAATGGAAATAATTGCTTTTAAGAAAAGTTGTTTTGATATTGTCAAGCAGCAGTAATCTACTTTGAGAGAATCTTCCGCAAAGACTATCCAAAAACTAGACTCCTATAATTGGTTGTAATCTTTTAGTAAATAACTGCTCTTTTTTCCTCTAGTGAAGTTATTTGAAGTAATTGAAACTGAAAAAACTCTCTACTTAATCATGGAGTATGCAAGTGGGGGTAAGTATTTTCCTTTTATGTGATATAAATGTAAAGAAATTGCCAAATGATACTGAAGCTTTCTTTTGTAATACTCCTTAAAACAAGAAACATTGATTTCATGATAGTGCAACATTTCAGGTGAAATGTTAATATTTTGGGAGGCATTTTCTTAAAGCTGTACAATTTTTTAAGTAAGCCAAGCTTTATCCAGAGGGAATTTTTTTTCATTATTTTCATTGATCAGTCCATCATGATGGTAATAGCAAAATAAGGATATTCACAATAGGCAGGAATTGGCACAATAGTTGGTTTCACTGATGTAGTATTTGGTAAAGTTAAGTATATATTCAAATGTAGTATTGTATGAAGTAATAGCATATAACATTCAGGTGGAAAAGTGTAGCAAATCTATTTGCCCTTGCATTTTAAATCACCAGTACTTCAACATTGCACTTGTTGTTTTTGAATGTTGGTGACATATGGACTATTCTGATTAAAGTGGCTCTCTTTAATTAAAGTAAGATCCACAGTTACCAAAATCTTCTGGACTCTTCATTTTGACTGTCACATGGGCCGCTTCACCTGGAATGGTCCCTTGAAAAATTTAACTACTTGTGCTAAACAATCTGTTCCACCTTGTACTTAGCACTGAGTACATTTCCCTAACCTGAAGAAGAGCTCTCTGTAAGCTCAAAAACTTGTCTCTCACCAACAGAAGTTGGTCCAGTAAGATATTATCTTCCCCCACCTTTAAGTAACCCCTCTTTAAGTTCCTCTACTGACTCCCCCTTTTGAATAATTAATTCCCAATTCTTGAGCTAATGTGAAGATTTTCTCAGTGTTTTCCGCTATTCGTAACTATAGCTAGAATCAAGGCATTTACCCTTCTGGATAGCTAAAAATGGTTAAATTTCAAAATCAGTGGGTGGAAATCACACAAATATTTGAGGCATATCTTCAGTTTTGCTGGGGAGACATAGAGGTTTGTCCTTCAAAACAGAAGAGCAGAGTTTCACCATTGGGTCCCACTGCAAATGTGCAGCATATCTGGGGTATCATGATGTGGTTGCTTATATAAACTGTGTTCTAGCTGTTATATTGGAGCTCCTAAGAGCCGTAGATGCATAGACTAGTTTTGTCTAAATGGGGCTAATGGTAGGGAAGGGCATAATAACATAAGAACGGTCAGATCAATGGTCCATCTAACCCAATATCCTGTCTTCTGACAGTAGACAGTGCCAGATGCTTCATAGGGTGTGAACCGAACAGGGCAATTTATCAAGTTACCTATTCCTTGTTCTCAAGTCCCAGCTTCCAGCAGTCTGAAGTTTAGGGATTCCCAGAGCATGGAGTTGCATCCCTGATCATCTTGGTTAATAGCCATTGATGGACCTATTCTCCATGAACTTATCTAATTCTTTTTTGAACCCAGTTATATTTTTGGGTTTTGCAACATCCCTGGCCCTGAGTTCCACAGGTTGACAACGTGTTGTGTGAAGAAGTACTTCCTTATGTTTGTTTTAAACCTGCTGCTTATTAATTTAATTGGATGACCCCTGATTCATGTGTTATGTGAAGGGGGTAAATAACCCATTCCTTATTTACTTTCTCCACCCCATTCATGATTTTATGGACCTCTATCATATCTCCCCTCAGTCTAAGCTGAACAGTTCATCTTTTTAATCTTTCCTCATATGGAAGCTGTTCCCTACCACTGATCATTTTTGTTGCCCTATTTTGTACTTTTTCCAATACCAAAATATATATATTTTTTGAGATGGGACAAACTGTATGCAGTATCTCTCCCTTTCGTAATGGTTCCTAACATTGTTAGCTTTTTTGACCTCTGCACATTGAGCATGCTAGTGTATGTGCACCTCTCCCTTCTACTTGATAGTTTTTGACTTAAAAGTGAGGTCATACTGCCATCTAGTGACTGGCTTACAGAGGATAGAAGGCCTAAAACTACTACAGATAACTGAGGGCATGTCTACACTACAAATTTAAGTCGATCTATGTTAGGTCAGCTTATACCCACCGTAGTAATTACTGCTGTGGTTTGTGTCCGGACTAACCTCCTTCTGTCAGTGATGCGCATCCTCAACAGGAGTATTTCCACTGACTTAAAGGGGCAGTGTGGAGGGCTGAGAGGCTGGGCTCTCAGCTCCGTACACAGCTTTCTCCTCTGTCTCTCTCTTCTCTCCCCCCCATCCCCTCTGCTCTTGGCTACATTCTCCCTGCCAGGAGCCCAGCTGCACCCTCAGGCTCTTGGCTATCTGGCTACTGGGCTCCCAGTGGGGAGCCGGGAGCCCAGGCAGCAGTCCTACTGAGAGGAGAGAGCTGGGAACCTGGGGACAACTGTGCTCTAGCTGGAGCCCTCTATTTGCCCTGGCATGGCAGCCCAAGCTATAAGTCCGGCTTTCTTGTCAATTTCACGGTTCCAACAGGGAGCTGTGAAATTGACAAGAATGACAGCTAACAGCTGATGTAAGTAACCTGCAGTGTCTACATGGACACTGTGTTGCCCTAACTACACTGATGTAAGTCCTATGCCTCTTGTGGAGGTGGAATTATTTTGTTGGGTACTTGCATCCCCAGGAACAAGGCTGTAGCACAGACACACTGACATAATTAGGTCAACATAAGCTGCCTTACATCAACCTAATTCTGTAGTGTAGACCAGGCCTGAGACGCTCCTTTTAGCTGAAATGAGAGAGACCTGTGTGTTTGGCACAGAAGCCATTAGTACTATTATATGCTTATGCAATATGCTACATGAAAATGTAATAGCAGATGACTATGTGCCAATATGGATTCAGTTCTGAAAATTCCCCTTCATCTACATTTTAGTCATCGGTCTCAACTTAAATCCAATATTCAGTAACTCCCTCAGTTATTTGAACTACTGTTTTTCTCTGCTTTTGATATTCCCGAAACATTTCGAAAAACAGGGTTGAATTTTATCTTTGTCTGGCCCCCTGCATTTTTATGAATTTTTATTTACTAATACTTTAAAAAGAAATAGCTGTAAGATATATTTCAGGGAATTGTTATCACTGACTGTGGTATTTTAACTGCTACTCTGGAAAGCAAAATATAATTTGTTCAGAAAATGAAAACTTATAAAATCATTCATGCACACTCCTTTTGTCATATCTTGGGTTCTTTATTGTAGTCTGTGCATGCTATACTTAAATCAGTTTGATTTGATTCCATCTTGTGACTTTTTCAAAATTAAAAGTACTTTTAATTACATATTTTTCCTTTTTTGAAGTCATAATGTGAAAAATGTTCTTACTTATCTGAGAGTATTTAAATGTGTATTTAAATATTAAAATAGTGATTTGATCTTTGAACTTCTAAAATCTTAGATTATTTAAACTAAATGATTTATTTGTACGTAAAGACCTATTTATGTATGTGGAAGCATTACCTCTTCCATATCTAATGCCTACAGTTTTTCAGTAGAAAAACATTTGTCACACTGTGACAAACAAGTGGATATTTCACTGGATAGATAGCAACATTTAAAAACTAGTCTAGTAGGCTAGTTATAAAATGCCAGACATTAATTGACTGTTTCTTTAAAAATGCAGCCCTATTCAATTTTTCTTCACTACTGTGTCCTTCAAAATGTCCCTTGTCATGTTGCATTGTTTCCTTTTCATTTTGGAAGTCTTCCAGGGACCTGTTATGCCAGGATGCTTTTCTTCAATGTCTTATGTATTATATTTAAATTGTGGCTTGCTTCATCACATCAGTCTGTGTTCACTTGGGTGGTTTTTATAATGAAGGCCCCATTTTATTTTAACCCCAGGTTGAAACAGGGATTTCCATCATTGTAATATAATTTTTGTACACTTAGATTCTAGATTATAACACTCTGAGGCTACAACCATATTTACAAGATCCTTTAAACATTTTTGTACTGTAGATGAGGCTTACGACAGTCTATCTCTGTGATACAGCAGGTATTTTTCTAATGGAAAGGAATTCAGGACTTTTTTTTGCAAAGAAAGGGATGCTGCTCATTTTCTAACATAAATGATTGAAAACAAATATTTTGCCTACATTTAGTCATCCAGATAATTCTTCTTAAAGTCTTTCTTGTCTCAGTGAAATTATGACGTAGTAAATCACTCTTCTGGGCTCTTGCCATGAGCCTTTTGCAAAAATGAAAAATTAGTGCCTTTTATGATTGATTTTTCACATGAATAAACAAACATTCTAACTGAAAACTGAAATCTCAAATTTTGCTTAAATTTCTGACATTTATTTAGCTCATACAATATATGTTACTCTTACAATTACAAAACTAACCCTAGATTTTGAAATTAACTAGCTAGTATTTTAAGATATTCAACAGTTCTCCTTCAATCTTTGATATGTTTCAATTGCAGGTGAGGTATTCGACTATCTGGTTGCACATGGAAGAATGAAGGAAAAGGAAGCAAGAGCTAAATTTAGACAGGTATGTATGATAGACTAACAGCTCTTAAGTCCTCAACTTTAGCATTAAAACACATGAAAAAATAGTTGACAGTGAGCTTTCCCATGGTGCTTTCAAGCACGCTCTGTTGCTGACTTTTTGTTGCATTAAATAACAGGGAAAAACTAGTAGATCCCTGTAAAAAGTGAATCTAGAGTGCTAAAATATGCAACAATTAAGGACAGGGATGTCAGCAGTACAACATGTGATGTTTAATCCAGTTCATGTAACAGTGTGTCGACATAAATGACGACATAAACAATAATGAATATGGATAATAAACTGAAAACTTATTTGCAAATGTGCTGTCATTCCCCGGCCTTATTTTCCTTACCAGCTTTTATTGATGATCTATTCCATGGCGCACAATCTGTGGACAATGATCTAAGAAGAAAGATCAGGAGTTAACTTCATTTTAAAAATCTGATAGCCCAGAGGCAACAAGCACAACAGTTGAAGGAGATCATATAATTTTACACACAGCCTAATGTTTCAATTATGTTAAGGAAATTTTGCATGAAATAAATCTCGTAACATAAATGGACGCCTTTATGATTGTCTGTTCTGTCTTGAATAGAATAGTGTGTGCACCATTAGTTATTTGGGAAACAGTGGAAATGTAGGAATCACTCACTTATTCCCTGTATCTAATATTTTAATGTGTGTAATACATTTCTGTGGAAATGTACTGTGCAGAGAAGTTTTACTGATATGAACAATAACCTCACTAAAGTAAATGTGACAGTCGCAATAAACACTAATAAGAAAAAAGGACAGTATTATTTAGGACAGCTTAACCCATTATAAGGAGGCAAAAATAAAATCAATAAATGAAAGCATTATTTCTCTTATCATTTGAATCTTCCCTAAGTCTTGCAGTATCCTCCTTAATCTTTTGCAAGATCCAGCTGGCAGACTTCACATCCCAGAAGATATTCTTTGAGTAGTGTGCAGATTGACAGGCAGTAAGAACCATTTCTGCCCCTCATTCACAAAATCCTGGGCGTGTGTTGTTTTTGTTTAACAGACTGTATTCAAGGTTCCTATGCTTAGATTCAGGAAGACAGAAAAATCTCCCCTTCAAATTCAGAGACAGAGAGAGTGTGTGTGTGTGTGTGTGTGTGTGTTTTTGCCCTCTATCCCTCACAGTCCCAATGATATTAGCTTCTGGAGTTGTCATTCCCGTCTCAGATGTTGGGCTGTACCATTTTTCTAAATTCGAAAGGTTATCCTTCAGATTCAAACCCAGTAATTTAAATCAAGTTTTTCTAAGATTCAAAAGGATCAGGGAATTTTCTCCCCACTGGCATGCCTAATACTAATTTTCAGCGGTCAAATCTGGTTCCACTAGTATGTTCACTCTTCCCCATGGCTATCATTATTGTTCTTAATCAGGAGATTTTTTTTTAATGTTCTGTCAAAGTACTTACATGTTTTGTTACTTCATTTACAATGTTGTGTACAGTTTATCGTTCAATCCTGGTTATTTTATTCAAGTCCACTGACTTCTCTGAAAGGGAGTTTGAACCAGAAGGTGTGAAGGCTATCTTACAAGTATAAGCTTCGGGGTTTCTTCACACTGCTACTATATGTCAATGAACAAACACAGTTAGTAAAGATAATGCCGACACAGCCTGCTTGACCCCATTGAAGTCCACATAAATGCATTTTATAAGTCTTTTTTTATTTTTCTGCATTTCTATAATAGCTTCAGATCGATTTTTCTCATAGCATAATAGGGTTTCACTTTAAGTCCATCCACTAACTAGTTTAACAATGAGACAATAGTTACCTCTAAGAAAAGCTGGAGGAGCAATAGTAGTTTGCATCTGCCATAATGTTGAGCCTGGCAGAGACTGTATGTTGTCATCTCTTGTTCGCTTTTAATTTCTCCTCTCTTCACTTCTGTAGTGGCCATTTCTGTATCGAGTTATGTTGGAAGTAAATCATTGCACACCTGCCCAACTTAAAAAAATTGTCCAGGAAGGGCAGTTTCAGCATGGATCTAAAATCCTTCACAAGAAAGTATATTGTTTCTGTGGTATGCATATTCTGTGGCCCCAGGAGCATAAAGATTTCTGGAGTTTGATCTCAATTTTGGATTTTATGTGTTGTAAACTTCCTTGCTGTCATCCAAGTTTTTCCTCTACTTTGAAATAATGTGGCCATGACTGATTATGCTGCAGTAAATAGCTTATGTATTATGCATAGCAGGCATGTTTAACAAGTGAAATATGAAAGGGTGCAAATGCCAAAAATATAACCATGCTCTGCTGCTCTCCATTTTAAGCTGCTTTTGTGCCTCAGAGCAAATATTTGCACTTTAAAGAAGTTTTGGATTCTTCATATCATTTACTTCCCCTTGCCCTATCCTCAGGCCTCTGGGTTGATGGTCTGCTCTGGAGAATTTTTCTGCTGATTAAGGATGATCAATGTGTGAGATGATGTATGAATAAAAATTTAATGTAAAAACGAGGAACCCAAGTTTGTGCCTTTTGGGAAATGAGCAAATTAGGTAACTGATGCCCCTGTACTCCTCCTCCCCTGAATTAGTTTGTTAGTAAGTAGCTTTCATTAATCTTTCTGCCTCTTCTCTGAGAAACTCTAGAAGTAGGGCCATTTGTTAATATTCTTCTTTGAGTGCTTGTTCATGTCCATTCCAATTAGTTTTGTGCGCATCACGTACAAAGTCATCGGAAAGTTTTCCCTTAGCAGCTCCCGTCGGTCAGCTGTGGAGCCCCCTGGAGTGGCGCTGGATATAGGAGCCTGCCGACCCCGCGTCTCCTCAGTTCCTTCTTACCACCAGTGACGATCGTTGGAACTGCGATCTCTTGCCTAGCAAGTGCTTCCCTTAGCGTTCTTTCCATAGCGTAGTTAGTTTAGTTTAGTTGTAGTTATTGTTAGTAGATAATGTATACAGTGTATATATAGTAAGGTTTGGGAGCAGGGTTTCCCAATCCCAACCACCCCACCCTTGGGCTCCGGGGTGTGCCACGAGCCCAAAGCTTTAAACCCTGCGGAACCTGCAATAAGCCTATGCCAGCAAGCGACCCCCACGACTCGTGTCTGGGGAGGCACACAAGACGGAAAGGTGCAAGATTTGCAGGACTTTCTGCCCAAGGACAAAAAAAGAGTGAGATTTCCGACTTGGGCAGTTGCTCATGGAATCCACTCTTCGTCCGCAGTCTGCTGCGGACCACCGGGACCCAGCACCGAGCGTATCTGTACGGAGTGCCACGGCATCAGTACATGACATGGTGCCGAGGAAGGACTCTAGTCTAAAATACCCTCGTCACTGGCACTCTCCAGCACCGCACACTGAGGAGACAACCCGGCACCACTTGCATTCACCGGTGCTGTACAACTGGCATAGAAAAGCGACAGGGGTTGCTCTGCAGTGCCAAAAGCAGCTGGACCGGCAGGTGCTGCACCGGTGCGCCCCTTGAAGGAGCACCCAAGCAGCAAGTGTCAGCGCCGTCGACTTCAGTTCCCCCGAGGTGACTGTTGAGTCCGGCACCCAGCAACTCCTCAGATGGGCAGTGCCAGGTGGAGGAGTTGGAGCTACCTTCCACCCCAGATACTTTTGCAGCTGCCAGAGATGTGATTGCCATGACGGCTCCTCAGCCCCCGGTGGTCAGAGATAAGCCTCCAGCGTCTAGAGGCAAGCTGACCATGATGCGGTGCTCAACTTCTCCTGCCCGGCACTGTTTGCCTCGGCACAGCTCCAGATCGCCGTCGCCAAGGCACTGCTCTCCGGCACTGGATTCTGTGCAGGGTTCCCCGGCACCAATGGGACATCACTCCCCTTCCTCAGCACAGAGGACGGAGCGGCACCAATCCCCGGCTCCGAGAGAGAACCAGCAACAGATTCCCAGCATGGGTGCCTCGACACCAATCCCCCGCATCATCAGCCCGGTACCAGTCCCCGGCACAGGACCCTTCGGCTCCACCGTGGTCATCACGGTCAAGATCCAGCGTGGCCTCGACAGTACTGGTACACCATGTTCCTGGAGCTGTCAGTGGATGCCCTGATTGCATTACCACTCCACCCAGATCTGGTCACTCAGGACCTCTATCACCTTCACCACCCAGACCTCCAGTCCCTCCATCTCACAGCCTGGAAGCTTCATGGTTAAACCCCATGGAACTTCTGTGCTCGGAACCAGTAAGAAAGGTCCTATTTGGCACCAGGAAACCATCCACCAGGGGCACTT